CGTTCGTTCGTTCGTTCGTTCGATGAGATGTGCACGATATCCGTGTTCTTTTTTTTTGCTAGGCAGATGTTCCACGCGCAGACCATTGATTCTATGGTGAAGCTCCAAGATGCTGTGGAGAAGCTGCCGGAGACACAGCGCAGCGGAAATCAATGTCCACAACCAACAATACTTTTGGGCCTTTCATGTGTTTCGGGAATGATTCGTCGATTCGTAGACTTCGAGAGAAAACGGCTGGCTGGGCTTTCAATCACTTTTAGGTCCATGACAGATGGTGCAAAAAGCACAGCCCCAGGGGCTGCAAAGAAAAAGGCAGGCCAAATCCTTATGCTTGATGTGAGTTGTAGAATCAATTTGAAGACATGGACCACAAGAAACTTGTGTTTTTTGTTTGTTTTCAGGCGCAGGACATAAAGGATGAAGGCCCAGCCTACGTAAGCCTGACATGATTGGTACCCGGTGAGCCGGAAGAAGGATGTGTGCACAAATCCTTGTTGCAGGACTCGCCAGCTGCTCTGAGTGGTTTGCACTACAGAAGTCCTGCTCACAACTTCAAAGAGTTTGGGCCGCCAAGTAACAAAAGATGTTCACATTTGCAGGGAGCCAGACACAGAAGATCCTTGTAGTCCGAGGTCCTTCTCCATGTTTCTTGCTGCCGAGCAAGAAAGTCCAGAGGTTAGGTACAAGGGCCAGCTGCAGGCTTCTTCACCTTTCTCTGCTGGATTCTTCTCTGTTGTTTTCTTCGAAGATCAAGCTTTCGGAGAGAAGTGTTTGTTGGCGCTTGGAGCCTGCTCAGGCAATGCGGAACATGGGCTTCACAGACACTGAAGCATGCATTCAGGCACGGCCACAGATTTAGTTTTGCAAGCGCCCACGATCGCAGTGCTTTGAATTGGTTTCTTCATGTGTCTTCCTAGTCAGTTTTTCTTTTAGCAGCCCGGGTTGATGACAACATTAGTAACTAGCAGGTCAAAGGCACTTCAGCATGCCATTGTTTTCCTTCCTTGAGGGTTGCAGCGGCGTCAGAGCTTCTGAGTTGAGGCTTTGCACAATTGCGATGGCAACATGAACAAGGCAGTCGAGCTCTTGATGGAGAAAGCAGACAGATAGGCACCCTGGCTGGTGGTGAGATGAAGTTTGATGCGTGAGTGAGTGGTAGTCTCCTTGCATCTGATGTAAAAGCCAGTCATGGGAATTGACAACAATTGCGCAGTATGATTTGTCTACTTGTCTCTTATTGCCGTGCTGGAACATGTCGACATCGATTTTGCTGCAAAGATTGCGGCTTGAGCTTGGATCGTTTAGGTACGGTTGCTGAGCTGGATGCTCTTGGCCTGAATGTGAAAGAATTCATGCTGAGAAGATTGCTTCCTAAAGGGAGGCGTGTCACAGTGGGAGCAGTAGAGGCATTCGAACGGTATGACTTTGAGGACATGGTTTACAAATGTTTGTCCTTGCTGACTCCAATGATAACGAAATCTCTGCAGTACGCAAGATGCCTGAATGGAGGCAGTGCGAGCTCAGGAAGTTGCAAATCAGCGCTTGGCGTTCCGGTGGGGGACTACAAACTGCATATTGTCTTGATATCCACACAGAGAAAACCCTTGATGGCCTCATCCCCACGCTGCCAAGGGGAAAGAGTTGTGAATTACGGGTGGTTTTGGCTCATTTAGACTGCAGCTGGAAATGGCAGAAGGTCAGAGGGTTCCCAAGGATGTCCGAAGCCTAGAAGCTGAACAGGCTACAACATTTCCTTGTTGAAGGCAAGACATTCAAGCAGACTTTCTATAAGCAAAGGTCCGTTCGTCCATGTAGTAGGGCTCGTTGCCCGTGGCCCAGAATTCTCTGATCATTTCTCACACACACACACATGCATGTCACAACGATACAAGGCAAGTTGCTGCACAGTGGACCAATGTGAACCAGAAAGCCCTCGATTGACCTTTTCAGTTCGATCTCACAAAAGTCCAAACCATGCCAAGGTCAGCACTGCAACAAGCGTGTGGCGATTTTCCTCATCGACGGGTTCGGAGTTCTCCGCAGATGCCATGAAGCAAAATGCGGTGAGCAACCTCTGAAGGCGCTCCTCTGAATGTACCTGCACCCCAAAAGCTTTTCTTTCAGCTTGTCGCAGGCTCCTCCAACTTTGCAGGCCCAGCAACGTGAAGAGTATGCAATAAATCTAGGGGCCGATTGCAGCAAGGGATCTTTCAAGGAAGCTTCTCCCACTCTTCACTACCCACCATATTATTGACTCAGGCCCCTTGAATATGAATGAGGCCTCCTTTAAAGGTGGCCTTATTCAAGGGGCCCAAGTCCACCTTTTTTCATCAAAGGACCACAGACGAGATGGTGGGTCCTTTCTGAGGCGGATGCAACTTCTGAGACCACAGCTGCCACAGCTTGATGCTAAGACATGCTCGCTGAACTGACTGCATGTGCTCACTGAAAAAGTCCATTGGACTTAGGGTATGATAGGGTAAGAGGCTGGGCAAAACACACATTGCCGAGCGCAAGGTGGCTCCTGCGGGATCCTCGCCATCCAGCGAAACTCCTGACCAAGGTCCTTCAGGTGCTCAAGGGAGTTTACGTACTCGTTCATGAACCCTCTCGCCTTCCTTTGCATGTCAGGTCTATTTTTCTCATTCATGACATGCAATACATTGAATAATCGGTGGACATGTTCTGTTCGGATTCTTGCGCATCCAGGCCACTTAGAAGCCGCAAGCAGTTCTTCGTCGTCGAGGTCATTGCCGGACTGGGGCTGAGACTCGTTGTTGTGAAAATCTGTCAATGCCTTTGACACATCTCAAGGAGTCTTCTGATTTCACTATATTTCAACCCACACAGAAGCATGCATAAAACTGTAAGAAAACACATAAAACATACATCAAAGATGCACCGAACTCTATGAGGTGAATCCAATTCGAATTGTCCAGAGACTTTTGAGCCCGCTGAGCTCAATTGGATGTGGGCGCCGCAACAGACCAGCCTTGAGACAAACACAAAGTGACTCGCCAGCATATGACCGTTTGACCCGCAGAATAACACAACCTCGACTTTGATGTATGTTGATGAATGTTGATCAAAGGGAGGCTAGGCGGTGAAAGCCATAGTGGCGTGGCAGTCAAACTGCTTCGAATAGGTGATCCGCTCAATGCTTTGATTGAAGATGACGAGTCCTTTGTCAAGGTGGAATTGTGCTTGTCCAATGGGAAGTAAGGATTGGTCAGGTATCCATCAATTAGTCTTGTAACGTATATTTGTATATTTTGTCAATGCACTTTTTTAGGCTTCCGCCCTTCTATCCACATTTCGGACAGTACCTACACAGGAGTCCCGGCTGAGATCTCAGAGCTAGACCTGAGAATCTCCAACGAGTCATTGTCAGATATCGACCATTCCGAGGGCTCTTGAGTCAGCCTGGCTGCGGGCGCTTGCAGCAAAAGCTACCTTCGTGTAACGTAGCTCAGCGCCGTGTCAC